AGGATTGCCCAGATGGGTTCATATATTTTTGCTTTTACGTACATTACTTGAAATTTTTACTACATTGTACTTCTTCATTTAACTATTCTTCTGTGCTGATTAACTTTAATGTATGTATTTTTATCTACTTGCTCTGGGGATTCGTCCCCTTTCTTGCTAATTTCTTTCTTGGATTTCATTTATATATCCATTGTGTACATCTCTTTGTTTCTCTCCCTTATAAATTCTAATACTGAATTCCATTCTGTTCTTTGGGGTTTCATATAGTTTTGGGACATTGTTTGTGTCAGAATGTCCATGCTTATTATATCCATTATTTTGCTGATCCAATGTTCCACTGTTGGTATCTCTTCAGTTTTCCACATTTTTGCAAGCACCATCCTAGCAGCTGCTGTCAAATAGAGAAGAATCTTATCTTCATTCTTTTCCAATTTCAAGTTATGTATTCCTAATAGTAGTGTTTCAGGCCTTGGGTCGAATTTTATTTTAAATATTTTTTCCATCGATCTATGTATTTGTAACCAATATCTCTTAACCTTTCCACAATTCCACCACATGTGCAGGAATTCACCTCTCTCCTTCCCACATTTCCAGCACCGATCTTTAGATTTATCTTTGTTAATTTTTGCTAGGGCCTCCGGTGTTAGGTACCATCTATAAAAGATCTTGTACCAGCTCTCTTTGAGGTCAGTGGCATATGTGTACTTAATTTTCTTTCTCCAGATTTTTTCCCATTCTGCTAGTGGTATGGAGTATCCTATGTCTCTTGACCAGCTTATCATGCTAATTTTTATCTGTTCCTTCTCCGTAGCCCAAATTAAGAGTTGGTTATAGATTTTCCTTATTATTTTTGTTTCTGTCAGAAGTATTTTATCCCAAAAAGGTTTTTTTGTGTCGAAGCCTAGTATTTTATCTGTCTTGAAATTTTCTCTAATTTGGTGGTAATGGAACCATGAGATGGTAGTGTCTAATTGGTTCAGTTCCTCCCTCGATTTTAGTATTATTTCCTTCTTTAATAGTTGGTTATACGTTAACCATATGTTTCAGGGTATTTCCCTTTTGTGGTATGCTTCATTTGGGGAGAACCACATTGGAGTTTTCTGGTAGAGTCTACTTTTGTATTTTTTCCAGGTGGAGATTAGTGCAGCTCTTATGGGATGATTCTTGAAGAGTTTCTCTTTCTTTCCTTTCTCTCTCCAGAGGTAGGCGTGCCAACCCAGGTTAATGTCAAATCCTTCTATTGCCAAGATCTTCTCCTTCTCAAGCGTCGCCCAGTCTCGGAGCCAGCTTAGTGCTGCCGTGTCATAGTACAGTTGCAACTCAGGAAGAGCCAGTCCTCCCTTTTTTTTGTCTATTAGATTTACCACACTTATTCTATGTTTTTTGTTGTTCCATATACATTTGATTAATTCTTTTTGCCAATTCTGTATCATTTTGTTTGTTCTGAGAATTTTGCCTAGCAATGAAAGATTGAGATTTGACCATTTCTGTAGTTTGTTTCTTATTTCGGCCCATTTTTTTTCGTAGTTGTTGTTTATCAAGTGGTTATTATTAGGGGAAATTATCACTCCCAAGTATTTTACTTTTGTGGTGATCTTAATTCCTGTCCTTTCTTGCAGTGCTTCTTTCTTCTCTCTATTCATATTCTTAACTATGATTTGTGTCTTATCTCTATTGATCTTCTGACCTGGCACTTCTCCATACTTCTCTATTTCTGTTAACCATTTGCTTATGTTATTTAATGGGTCTTCTATGAAACACACTAGATCATCGGCAAAAGCACGTGTTTTGTAGGAGTGGCCTTTTGCTCTCAATCCTGTAAGTTCCGGGTTCTTTCTTATATTGTTCAATAGAATCTCCAGAGTTAGAATAAAGATCAGGGGAGAAAGGGGGCATCCCTGCCTTGTCCCTTTTAATATCGAAATGTTTGTTGATTGTTGTCCATTCACCATTATTTTTGCATGTTGTTCTGTGTAGATTGCTTCGATTGCTTTTGTGAAGTGGTATCCAATGTCCATCTCCCTTATTGTCGCTGTGATGAAATTCCAATTTACTCTATCAAACGCCTTTTCAGCGTCAAGAAACATAAATGCTATTTCCTTCTGGTTGGATTTCTCATAATAGTCCATAACATTTATTACTGTTCTTATATTGTCCTTGAGTTGACGTTTTGGGAGGAACCCCACTTGATCTTCACCTATTCTGTTGTTTAAAAGGTTCTTTAGTCTTCCTGCTAGTACTCCAGTAAAGATTTTGTAGTCTACATTAAGTAGAGAGATGGGTCTATAATTTCTTACTGGTGTACTGCACGTGTTTTCTTTGTGAATTAGGGATATCGAAGCGGTTTTCCATGATTCAGGGATTTTTCCTTCTTCTAATATGTTGTTCATTATCCTTTGGAGATGGGGTATCAAGGACTCTTGGAAGGTCTTGTAGTATTCGGTGGTAAAGCCATCGGGCCCTGGAGCCTTGTCCGCTGGCATGTTCTGTATTGTTTTCTTTATCTCTTCTTGCGTAATTTTTTTATTCAGATTTTCCCTTTGTTCATCTGTTATACATGGTATGTATTGCATTCCTAGGTATCTTGATATTTTCTCATCCGACATATTTTCATTTTTGTAGAGTTCTTTATAGTAGTTTGCAAATTGAGCTATAATATCTTCTGTTTGGAAAAAACTTGTCCCATTCTCTTCAATTTTTGTAATATATCTGTTTTGTTTCTTTATGGCTATTCTAACTAATTCACACAGTGCAAAAAAAGAAGAAAGAACAATACAATATTTAAAATGAAGAACAATTTTAACCAACATAAACTGTAGGTCCGTTTTGGCTGTTTTACCTTGGCCAAACTGACTTCTTTAACTCTACTAAATGGCCATAATGGCAAATACCCAGCTGTCATGTTTTCACCGGGACCACGTGGCATCCGATCACGGCTCCTTCTCCCCTATTTACATCACAGTTGAGTCCTAGCTTAAGTGAATTTTTTGACTTGGCTTCTGGCTTGGCCTCTCTCTTTGATCTTTTTTCGTTTCCTTTATTTTCTTGTTTCTTTTTATTTAGTGGGACTGACTGGGAGTTAAGAACATACAGGACTGGGAGGTGGGTTAGAGCTTGGAGAATTACCCTTTTCGCTTCTTTTTCTCCTCCCCTCCTATTTTTCAGAAAATGCTTCTAAATTATTGTTCTTATTAATTGTATTAATAACAAAAAGAAAAGCCTCACACCCAAACCAGAAAGGCAGTGTAGGCAGGGTCTACACTGCAAATCAAGAGAAAAGAGAGAGCTTTTAAAAGGAAGCCCAGGATAGGATAGCTCCAGGTCATCACTCTTCTTTCCCTGGGAAGTGGGGAAACCTCCATAAAATGTCTTGGTGCAGGGAGAGAGGACACCCGCCTGCAGCGCCTGTAACACCTGTGTCTCCTCTACAGACCAAAGGAAAAGGATCACAGAAAGTGTGGTATCTTAAGCCTTTTCTTTAAACCCAGATGTTCTCTACAGACCGAAGGGGAAAGGATCACAGAAAGAATGGTATCTTAACTCTGATGCTTTTTAACCCCGGTCTTAATGAAGGATATAAGGACAAACAATGCAATTGCATAAAATGACATTGCTGCCAGAGGGCTGAATCTAGCTGTATTTTCTGGCTGCGGTCCAATAATTCCATCCAGCTGCGCACCCATTTTCGGGAGGCACACAAAAACAGATACACAGGTATATTAGTATCAGGCCAGCAGAAACGGATCGAGGTTCAGCTGCTGCACAAGCCTACTTAACAATATTGCAGTGAAAGACCCCAGAGGGTATCCAGTCCAATCTCCTTCTGCCAGGAAACAGGGGAGGGAAACAGGGTTTTAGAAGCAAAGAAAGTAGGGGGGAGGTCTGGGCTGTGACAAATACAGTCTGGTCATTGAGGGAGGCGGGTGGGGAAAGGGTCTGGGCAGCAACGAAAAGAGTCTGGGTGGTGAGGGAGACAGGGGAGAAAGGATCTGTACCCCGGGAGGAGGATGCTGCTGCTGTTGTTGTTTCCAGCTGCTCAAAACTTTAATTTCCCTGCATTTCTCAAGAGGAGGAGCCCTACTATCCCTCATGGAGCCCCAAGGGCTCTGCAGAGCACAGTTTGAGAACCTCTGGATTAGAAGAACGGGAGTGTACTAGTCGGAAGCACCTTACATTTTGTTCCTAACATCCTAAGTCATAGATTAATGTGACACATGAACCAGGACTCCTTCATATTTGACATCCAGCATGGCTTATCATATGAAAAATCTATGTGTTCCTGCATAACTGTCCTTTGTCCCCTTTGTGCACTTTATTACTTTCAGTTCATGTCAACCGCCATTTGCTTCTGCTACCAAACAAGTAATACATTATTATTATTTTTTTAAAAAAACCCTAAAAACGAGGACTGCAAACCAGTTTCAAATTCATTTGGAAGCCTTGTTCAGGAGTATATTGTAAGCAATGTAGGTTTTTTTTACTGTTAAGGGAGTGAGGGGGAGGGTGATTTTCACTAGGTCTGTGTTGAATCAGGTTTCCAGATTTCCATCAAAAGTAAACAGGAATGAACTTATTTGTGGTGGAGGAGATAGGTATTTCATTGATATTGTGACATTGGCAGTATCTTCTTGATAAGACCTGAGAGGGCAATGCTTCTTTCTTCTATCTTCCTTTCACCCTAGTCCTTTACACTGGAAGAGATTTCCCCAGAATCATTTATAAAAGTAACTGTAGCTTTCTATTAAAACTGTGTGTAAGACTGGCCATGTGAGGTTTTGGTTTTTTTGTATGTTAAATTATGACAGTTGTATTAAGAGATAAGGTAAGTACGGAATAGAACATGGTGAAAAAGACACAAAATGTATTATAATAGTGACTTAGCATTAAACTCTGGTCCATTGAAATCACTTAAATGAGTTTTCAAGTGGTTTTAGGATTGCTGTATGAGAAAATTAATTTGATAATAACTAATGCAACACCATTTGCCTCCCTATTACTAGACCCTGATGAGTTTGAAAGGATATATGAGCCTTTGGATGTAAAGAGCAAAAAAATTCATATTGTGGATAGCGGACTGACTTTTAACTTGCCTTATCCACTTATCTTAAGACCACAACGAGGGGTTGATCTTATAATCTCATTTGATTTTTCTGCACGTCCTAGTGATTCCAGTCCTCCTTTTAAGGTGAGTCATCCAAACCAACATTGTCCATAGTTTGCTGAATAAAGTTCACATTTAAATCTTTATATTCATGCTTAGTTCCTGCTGAACTCAAAGCATGATATAAAATCGGGGAGATTACTTGCCTGTGCTGAACACTTTTTATGGGGGAAGAGGTAGTTCACCTACTGAAAACAGACTTTGATTTGTTTATGCTGATACTTTTTTAAGTATAGATAAATGCTTGAAGCTTAAGTGAGCTTAAAGATGTCAGATCACACATTAAGGCCTCTTTATTTTGTTCTGGCTAGATAAATTATTCATGTTCTTATTTTTACCTTTATTTTAAGTACAATTTTGATTATTCACATGATACAAAGGAGGCACGATAGAATGAATCATAATCTCAGTCCAAACATAATGTTCTTGATCATTGGATTATGGTTGCAACATGATATCCTAATGATTTTCATACATTCTCTCTTCTCTTCCCATTTTCATGTGCAATGCTGTGCCTCCATAAGCAGGAGTGTGCAATTCGGCAAAAAAACATGCCGTTGTTGCGGTCTGGCTTTGGAGCATAGCAAACAGGTTTCATCTAACTGTAGTTAGAATTGTCAGGTAATACTTTACTTTGATTACCTGTGAAAAGTTGAAGGGAAAGGAGCAATCTGAAAATGAAGGAAAAATACGGAAATACATTATTAGAAAACAGAGAACAATATGTTTGCACCAGGCCACATTCTGTTCACGGTGAAGCTCATGTAATACTTCCTTCTGCTCCTTCTCTCCCATATCTAGCTGGACTTTCCTTACCACGATGTGCTTTCTTTCATTACATTGCACATTTGATCTCATATAGAAGAATAGAATTGTTTTACACAATTATTAATTTTTTTGCAGAAATAGATAGGAATTCTTCTTAAATAATCTTGTTATGACTAGCAGAGATAGTATCAGAAAGATCAAATGTGTCTTAATTAAAGATCAAATGTGTCTTAATATACTACTTGACACAAACTAGTATAATATACTACTTGACACAAAGATAATATGCCAGATTATTAAGACTAATGCTCTGTTTCTTGTGGAACGTGAAAAGAATGTAAAACCTTGTGACTCTTCGTAATTTCCGAGCACTATAGAGAAACTACTTTCAACTCGTTTTGTAATGGTCTACTCTTTTTTTTCCCCAATGAGTGAAATTCCTATAATCATTGAGATCTTTTGCAGCTGTCATGAAAATATGCTCTGAAGGCAGAACTCTATACTTTAAAAAATGCATCTTAAAACTAGATTGTTAAAGTAGACAAAATTACTTTCTCTGTCTTCTGATAAATCCCAATTTACAATCAGAACGTGCCAATTGACAACTCAGAACAGATAACGGTCTTGACTTTACAGGTGCTGAAGTGGTGTGAGGTTTGATAATGGACCCAGTGGAATCCAGAGCAGTCCTCAAATTCCTTTACTTGAAAGGCCGTACATCAAAGGAGACGTTCAATGATAATAATTATTTATTTGACCAGTCATATGATAATTTCAAAATACAACATGAGTAAAAGACAAGGCAAAAAGGAAAGGACAGCAGCTGACCTTCTCTTTAAAGTCATTATCTTATTTTTCTGGTTCTTCTTTCAGGAAATGTGCTCTTTTCTTGATAGCTTTCAGAATAAAAAGGCTTACTCTGATTATGGTGGATTTTTCCTGTCCTTGCAAGAAGGATGTCAGAAGATCATTTCTATTGGGGGACCTGCAGTTGGATAATATTGGATGTAAATATCTGTGTTGCAGTTCAGTATATGCTGGACAGTCAATTAAGAAATGTTCGATATCTTCCACAGTTTGTTCTCTCCATACGCAGAATCTCTCACTTCTTGGGATGCCCAGTTTGCATCATAATACCAAGTTGTTCAAACCTAGATTTAGTATATATTCTTTTTAAGGATAACAGAAATTGAATAGTCAGATACTGTTCTAAATGAATATTCCTTTTGTGGGAAACTTGTGGCAGACCTTGTGGCAGAAGACCTACCTATGCTTGCTAGGGCCAATTGAGCATAGATATCTCGAGTGTGTTGCATGAGCACTTGTTTTGCCTTAGGTCCTAGATCATTCAGAAATGGTAAAGGCCAACTCATTTTAGTCAACTCATCATTTAGAGCCAATATCCATTATGACTTCTGGTCACGCTGGATTTGATCCTCTAGACATAGGCAAGATTGTTAAGGAAGTGGTCTGCAAACACTTAGAAACAAATGTGGTCATCGCTAATAGTCAACATGGATTTATCAAAAACAAGTCATGCCAGACTAATCTGATCTCTTTTTTCGATAGAGTTACAAGCTGGATAGATGCAGGGAATGCCGTGGATGTGGCGTACCTGGATTTCAGTAAGGCCTTCGACAAGGTCCCCCATGACCTTCTGGCAAAAACTAGTCCAATGTGGGCTAGGCAAAACTACGGTGAGGTGGATCTGTAATTGGTTAAATGGACGAACCCAGAGGGTGCTCCCCAATGCTTCCTCTTCATCCTGGAAAGAAGTGACAAGTGGAGTGCTGCAGGGTTCCGTCCTGGGCCCGGTCCTGTTCAACATCTTTATTAATGACTTAGATGAAGGGCTAGAAGGCATGATCATCAAGTTTGCAGACGACACCAAATTGGGAGGGATAGCCAATAGTCCAGAGGACAGGAGCAGGATTCAAAACCATCTTGACAGATTAGAGAGATGGGCCAAAACTAACAAAATGAAGTTCAACAGTGACAAATGCAAGATACTCCACTTTGGCAGGAAAAACGAAATGCAAAGATACAAAATGGGGGGCGCCTGGCTCGAGAGCAGTACGTGTGAAAAAGATCTTGGAGTCCTCGTGGACAACAAGTTAAACATGAGCCAACAATGTGATGTGGCGGCAAAAAAAGCCAATGGGATTTTGGCCTGCATCAAGAGGAGCATCGTGTCTAGATCTAGGGAAGTTTGGTTAGACCACACCTGGAATATTGTGTCCAATTCTGGGCACCACAATTCAAGAGAGATATTGACAAGCTGGAATGTGTCCTAAGGAGGGCGACTAAAATGATCAAGGGTCTGGAGAACAAGCCCTATGAGGAGCGGCTTAAGGAGCTGAGCATGAAGAAGAGAAGGCTGAGAGGAGATATGATAGCCATGTATAAATATGTGAGAGGAAGCCACAGGGAGGAGGGAGCAAGCTTGTTTTCTGCTTCCTTGGAGACTAGGATGCGAAGCAGTGGCTTCAGACTACAAGAGAGGAGATTCCATCTGAACACGAGGAAGAACTTCCTGACTGTGAGAGCCGTTCAGCAGTGGAACTCTCTGGCCCGGAGAGTGGTGGAGGCTCCTTCTTTGGTAGCCTTTAAAGAGAGGCTGGATGGCCATCTGTCAGGAGCGATTTGAATGCAACATTCCTGCTTCTTGGCAGGGGGTTGGACTGGATGACCCATGAGGTCTCTTCCAACTCCTTGATTCTATGATTCTAGGGAAGTCTACTGGGATTCATCCGGTTTATTTTTGACCAGTAATTGAATTGTCTCATTAAAATTTGAGCTTTTACTGGGGGCATTCCTAGCTCCTCCCTTACTGGCGCCGTCAACATTGTTCTGGAAAGGCCCAGGAAGGTGCAAAGCTGCTTAAATTGGAAGGCTTCAATCTTGGCCAAATTGATGTGCCCCCAAATTTCAGCCCCAAATATAAGTGTTGGCATTATTTTGTCTTTTAGACTTCTAGGACAGGTCTAATTGTGCTGGGGTACCTATGATGGTACAGTTTATAAATGAAACTTGCTGCTTTCGTTGCTCTTTGTATACTATGAGTAATGTAGTTAGCCCAGGCACCAGATGAAGATATTTGTAACAATTGATTTGTTCCAGATCTATGCCATTCAGGGACCACATGTACCGTTACCTGTTTTTTTTTTCCAGACCATAATTTTGAATTTATCCTTGTTCATACTGAGTGAATTTAGCTAGTGAGTGAATTTACCTTGTTCATAGTGAATGAATTTTCCTGCCCACCCTGCTAAGTTCCATACAAATTGAATTTTGCCAGGGATCTTCTCAGTCTCACTGGAGACGTTGCCATAATCACCATATCATCAGCGTAAAGCAAGATGTTAATAGTTCTGGACAGAACTTTAGGGTCATGTAGACTGTCAGAGGATAATGTTTTCACAATGTCATTTATATAGAAGTTAAAGAGAAAGGGGGCTAAAATTCACCCTTGTCTTACTCCAGTTGATGTTTTGATTTCATTGCTCAGGGCTCCACTGGGTCAAAGTCTGACTTTCAGTACTGTATCAGAATTAAAGTAAGTAATCTTCTCTCAATGTTTGTGGCAGCCAACTTTTTCCATAATGTGTTGTGGCAGATTGTGTCAAACGCTGAAGACAAGTCTAAAAATGCTGAATACAGACTCATATCCCCCCCCCCCCGAATTATACTTTTGAATTATGTGCTGCAGGACAAAGCAATTATCTATAGATGAACGTCCCTGTCGGAAGCCTGATTGTTCTTCACAGAGAATATTGTTTTCATTGGCTCATTGCTCAATTTTAATCAAAAGATATTTTGCGTAAATTTTTGCTGTGATATCAATCAAGCTTATAAGCCAATAGTTCTTTGGATTGGTTTTTTTTTTCTCCATTCTTATGAATAAAAACAGTAATACTCATCTGACAGCCTTTAGGTATACTGCATGAATTGTTAATTTGAAAGAAAAGCCCTGCTAAAAGTTGAGCCCAACAATTACTGTTATTCTTAAAAAGTTCCACCAGCAAAAAATCCTCCCCTGGTGCTTTATTGTTTTGAAGTGCATTGATAATAGATATAATTCATATGGCTCAACTTGTGGCCAGGCTGGGAGGGTGCCAGGATTGTAATAATTTGTTATGTGTTTTACATTGTTTGAATTTCCTGCCTTATTAAAGAGATCACCATAAAAGGTTTCCCAATAAGATGCAGGGACTGGAGAGTCTATTGAGAATCTGACTTGTCTCAATTTCAAAGAA